CGGAGGGGCAAGAGGATGGAAGGGGAGGAAAAAGAGGACAGAAAACAAAAAAATAAGACATCTTTTGGAGCCAAAAAGTGGCAGTTAAAATGAAAGACTACACATAAAACGACATTGAAAGCTAGAAATGCCTTTACACCTTTAACATAATAAGAACTGCATCTACTCACTGTGAGCAAAGAGGCCCTGGTGGTGCTGGATTCGTCCTGAATGCTCTTCTTCCCTGTGAAGATGCTCTTGAGGTTCCTCCTCACCTCTCTGTTGAAGATGATGTGGAAGAAGAAGATGAAGACCCCCTGTGAAGAAACAGCAAAACAGATTGTTTTAAAAACTGGGGGGTAAGAATCAGATTGAGAAATGTTTTATTCAACCAAAGGACGATAAATCAAGTTTCGTTATAGTTACCCATTCAAACAATTAATGAAAACACAATCAAAATTGTAAATAGAAAAAAAGCAAAAGAATAATGTATTAATTAATAAATTTAAAATATACAAGCAAATATAATTTGTATAATAAATTGGGAGAAAAAAAATTAAATAAAGATACAAACTAAAAAAAACATATAATTACAATGTATCGAAACTAGTGCCATGACGACAAGGCTGGAAATGGGATCTATGTGTAATGCCGAATAGTATATACAAGTAAGATATATCAAAATGGTAGTATTTAATAGTATTACTGCCAATGTGATGTAAGTATTGCACAGTAGAATAGTAGAAGATTAATCCTGAGTGATTGTATGTAACTGCATCATCAGCTGTTGATAATGATCATGACATATGTTTAGGTGAACCTGTGCTACCTGCAGGCAGCTGAAGACGGCGAACAGGTAGTGGAATGTCATGACGTCGCTGTTGACCGCCAGAAGGCCGAGCATCCAGGTGGCGCTGATGAAGAGCAGCAGGAGGAAGGCCATTCGTAGTGCAGGACTGAGGAGGCCAAGATGCACATGGATCAGCACTTTATATCCATGTTTCTATGTTGTCCCATATATAGAAATATGAAAGTGACTTACATAGCTCCTGACTTCTCCACATCCTTCTGCCTGCGACCACAGGAAGCCTTCGCAGCCAGGATAAAGATCACTATGTTCACCTAGGAAGACAACATATATGTTAGGGTATTTTATTTTGATATTTGAGACTTTTAACTTATATGGTTTAATCCGCAGCATTAAATGTTCAGATTACATTACAGTTTTTTGATAATCACAAGAACCAGTCATTTGGGGAATATCTTAATTCAGGCACATACCAGGACGACTACAAAGATGGGTCCTGCGAAGCTCCAGATGAGTGTGTCATGGACGGAAAGCCAGCAGAAATCTGGGTTCCCGTAACCCTGGGGGTCAAGACCTACTGCCAAACCTAAAGACACACACAGAAGGCACACACAAATAGAATTAAAGAATTGTACAATTGTTTTAATTACAAAAAGTCTTCTTTATCCCTGGTTCTCCTTCCCTCTCTACCTCACCTGCAGTTTTTAAGGTAGTGCTACCAACATTCTCCTCCTTTTTTTCCAGTATTCTCTATCATCTTGATTACCTATTACTGGCATTTATCATTTGTTATCATTATCTGTTTCTATTTCTGGATCTCCGTACGTCTTCCTTTAAAAATCTATATGTCTCTCACACCATGTCTCAAATTCCAATAATCTTTCCCTGGAATCTACTATTGCCAAAACATGTCAGCACAACGCACACCTTTTAATATATGACTCTAATCTTAACATGCATCAAAGGGTTATAAAAAAAATGGCAGGCTTGAAAGAGTGCAACTAATTGCCGATACTAGATGATTAAAATCTTGCCTTTATTTCAAGAGAGTGAAAGAAGATTTATGTGTTTGCGGCATGTTGAGACAATTGGATGTTTATTTTATCCACGTAATTAATGCTACTGTTTTGTGTTTATTTAACATATTGTGAACATCCAAATCTTTCCTCCCCCTTCAATCATTTTCCCACGAGGATCACAGCCTCTTCAGGACATACAAGTCACAGCACGAAAGCATCCTGCCTTGTGTGTGCGTGTGCGTGTGTGTGTGTGTGTGTGTGTGTGTGTGTGTGTGTGTCTCACCAGTGATAATAGCCGGTATGCCCCAGCCCATGGCGTAGTAGAACCTCATGTGGCCGTGGTTGATGTTCCGCAGCTCTGTCAGCATGCGGTAGATGTGCAGCCCCTCCACGAACATCCAGGCGAAGGTGCACATGTAGAAGTAGTGGAGGAGGATGGCTATCACCGTGCACACAAACTGGGGGGAGATCAAACAAAGGACAGAGAGAATGGGGAGGAGGAAGAGAAGACAAAGTATGAGTGTACATTGTAAGGGAACCAGATAAGAGATATATTAAAAGCAGCTTTTGTCTTATTGTCATCCCTGATTTCCCTTTCTATAACATCCAGTAATTTCATTTTTAAAGTGCTTTTAATGCAATGTATTTTCTGTTAGCCGATGCTTTTGTTAGTGTATATTTCAATAATCATTTATTGGAAAAAATGCCCCTATAAACCAAAAGTGCAAGCCTTTTAAATGTCATCTTGTTTCAACTATGAAACATTTGCTCTTCTATTGGCTAGCGCTCTAATACATTGTACAATCATGATAGGCTCAGGGGCGGGACATCTATAAGTTGGTTGACCAATCACAACAGAGCTGACCAGCTAACCAATCAGAGCAGACTGGGCTCTGGTTTCAGACAGAGGATGAAAAGAGTCTTATCAGGCTCCGGCTAATTTCAATGGGGATTTTTGACACATTTTGATTTAAATCAGCAATATTTACAGCCCTATAGCTAGCATGCATACCTCTTCTTTTTTTCAATGATTAATGTCTTTAAATAAAACAGGTGGATGTAATCTATCTCCACACTCTTTTATCTCCTTCCCTCCCTATTTCCAGGTCTGTTGCTGCACTGGAAGAATGCAGTGTGTCAGGGAATGTCCCAGCAGTTGGAACTGTATTTGAGTGTAGCTGTGTATTGCTGCAGAGATCAGAGACAGAAAGAAAGAGACTGCTTTGACAGGGTTATAAATCATGCTGCAGATGGCCCTGGGCACACACTGACAGCATTCCACAGTTGAGAGACACACACACACACGCACGCAGCACGCACGCACGCACGACACACACACACACACACACACACACACACACACACACACACACACACACACACACACACACACACACCTAAGCACAAGATAGAGGACTCCACGTACACTTATGAATTAACAGAGATGGAAAAAACAAATGTGTGTTCTCTCTTTTTTTTTTATCTGTGCAGACTTGGCTTCTGGTTGCAGGTGACGCAGCGTGTTGTCAGTCAGAGATTGAATCCCCCTCGTCGCAGTCAAAACACTGTGAGTCAGTACGTTTCTGACCCACTCCTTATCTACTTTCCTAGTTTGTTGGTTTGTTGGGCTTTTACTGGGCTTATTTGCTTAAGATTAATGTCTTTGTTTGAGCTATTAGGGCGATGAAGGCATTGCTATAGCAGCATCGGTCTATGCAACCTGGGTTTACTGAATTTTCACAGAGACCATTGAACTCAAAACGTACATCTGGTTTAGCAAGACTACTCATTGCTGACACATTCATTTGAAAGAACACTTTATTACAAGAGATGCTAAAAGGTTAACTAGATATTGTTGTAATAGTTACATTACTGAGCATGTTTTCTGACTCCTCTCCACTGTTATGATTGGCAATTGACTTTTGATGATGACTGTTTAGGATGGTTATGGTTAAGCATAGTTAGATAGTTTTATTTTTCACATGTCTTGTATTAAAGAGCCCCAACAGGTTGCCAAAAAAGGCAAAGGACCTGGGTATGATTCAAACATCGAATTAATTAATTAATTAATTAGACTTGGATTAAACATATGGCATTTATGACACTTGTTACAACCCCCTCCACTCCAATAGAGGTCTCTGTCTTTGTGTTCTGCTTGCTGGCTCTTGTTTGTGTTTCAGGTGATCAACCTGATGAGCCACACTTGGGCCGTCGACATAAAAGGCCAACACCAACCCATACTGCCCTCTCACTCTTCTGTTGGACACGGCCCCTTCTTTGTTTCTGCACCTTTTCACACACCCATACACACAATCATTACTGATAACTGACTTCCACATTTATTAGGCTTCTTTGAAGACCTTTGGTTTTTGTGGTATTGCAAATAAATATGCTTTTTGTTACACTTAACTTGTCTAGTCTCCCATCTTTGTTGCAGCCTATGAGCCAGGCCGTAACACACTGCATGATTGTCACATTACTACATCACTACACTTAATGGACTAAGCCGATTGAAAGTGACTTACCATAAGTGCACCCAACCATTTATTTATTATCTCCTTATGTCTCCCCAAGGCCTACCAAGTGTGTCCCATGTCTTCTAAAATTAGCAAGATCTCCCGTCAATTATCCGATTAATAATGTCTTCTGTACCACAAACATGCACAAGATTTATCAAGTGAAAACTAAGACGTTGTTTTGGGAAACCTTCCCCAGTGCCTACCGCCCTGAAGCTGGCTTCTGGAGACAGGTACCAGTCACAGCATGTCTCCACTACTGGCACTACGAGGTGTGTGTGCATGTGTGTGGTGTGTGTGTGTGTGTGTGGGACTCCAAATGGTTGTGTCAGCAGACTTCAAAGAATTCCCACACTTCTTGATCCTGTACTGTACTGCATATGACCTACCCAGCTCCAAACTAGGTTACGGCTTTAACATGATTAGCTTATTACATTTATCAGGATATTGCACGTTTTTTATAGTTACAAGGTAACAACCAGCTGCGAGTGTCAATTCAATAAAATTAACCTATAGAGGGTTATATTCGGAGATAGCTTTGGCTACCAGCACATTCCTTATTATTACAGTCATTAGCCAAGCCTCAAAACTCATAATCTGTCAAATAAAGACAGTCTCAGGTAGGTCTTGGTTCATTCATCCTAGTAAAGCCCCAGTCAGTGCCATGTTAAGATGGCAGCCCGCAGGCCAAACAAATAGCATTCAGTCTTTAAGTCAGTAAACACTAGATTTGTATCCCCCTTCAGGTTCCACCATGCCACAAGCATAGGAAAGTGTTGTGGTCCTGTACCGTATATTTGTTTTTTTCCATTTAGATGCACAGGGCACCATTAATGTACCTTCTCCTGATTTATATATATATTATAGCATAGGAATACTTGAAAAGAGGTAAGACTAATTTTCTGTAATATACAGAACTTCTTGTCTGGGATGACCAGAGTTAGCTAGGAAAGGCTATTCAACATCCAAAAGTTAACGTTTAACTGCTGCAAAATTAAGAAATGTATAAGTAATGGATCAACTATTGAAATAGTTAGCTAAAGTAACGGATAAACTGTTAACAGAGTTGGCTTAAAGTGATAAACGGGTGAAATAGTTGATTAAAACTAAGGGTTAAATAGTAAAAATAACTAGTTAAAAGTTTTGAATAAGCTGTTAAAAGTAATAACTAAAAGTAATGGCTACATTTTGAAATTGGCTACAAAAACACTCACCGGGTTGTCCGTCTGATTGATGCCGAGCAGGAAGATGAGTTCAGAGAAGAAGAGCGCTGCCACAAGGTTCCTGTGGATGGCGTGGAGGTTGGAGCGGAGACGGCGCAACAGGCACAACAAGATGAAGGTCAGGAGGAGGAGGAACAGGGAGACGGACACCGTGGTGTAGGTGACGATCTTCAGAGGGAGAACGTCACCGTGCTGGGGGGAGCAGAGCCAGGAGTCAATGACAAAGTCGGAACATACGTATCTTAGTTAGATGTTTATGGATCTTCTTAGAAATACCTCTCTCTTTGAAATGTCCATGAGCACGGCGAAGCTGGTCATGTGGTTACACTGGCAGCTGATGTGGCTGTTGTTCCTGTTGAGCACCTCGCAGCCTTTAGCCGACCAGCCGCCCGTACCTCCGATCCTACACACACACAACACATGAAAGTTACAACTTCACAGCAAACGTCATGAATGCTTTTCTCAAAAGTTCATTCCCGAGTCCAACTCACGTGATGGAGTGGTTCCAGAAGACACACACAGGTTTGGTTCTCTCCTCCGTCTCCAGCATGGTGTACTCCAGGGTGATGGGGGGGTCCAGGATGGGAGGAAGAGGCGGACCCTCGCTGTGCACCGAGGCGCTCACTATGGCTGTGTTGATCACTGGGCGGTTGGGGATCCTAGAAAAACATACAAAAATACAATCAAGCATGACCCAAAATTGTTTTAATTAAAGGTTTTAATCACTGACGTATAGTAAATGTAGCTTTTTATGGCTTTATCACACAGACGCACAAACACACTCTCACGAACATTAAATCATACTGTACATAACAGACCCACACCTATTTGTTGAATGTCTTTGTTTTCCTTCTGTTCCTAACATATTCTTAGTAGATTTTTCTCTTTCCAAACACATAGTCCTGTTCAAATGTTCTGTCTAACTTCAGAGGATTTTATAGGCACTGATAAGGTTGTTCCTTCAAACATGCCTACAGTAAATGTTATGAGAGAAGCAGTCACATGGTTTCTTCAAATTGTTAAATTATGCATTATAGTCAAGTACAGTTGAAACTATTTAGAGTTCAGATTATATATAGGCTCTCTTTCATTAATTTGTTTAGATTTTGTTTGAAATTGACTAGATAACACTTCATAATTTAATCGTAGCTAAGAGCATGAGACATCAGTGTCATACAGTGTGGCAAATAAGGCAGTTTAAAGGTATTTGAAGAACGATTAAGTCATTAGTAGCCCCTAAACTTTAAGTGTGTACCTCATACTCCTGCGGTCCGGGTCGTATCTTTCCGGAAGGAGTTTCCCTAGTGTTTTATACACTATAACCACGGCAACCGGCAAAGGGGCAGCTGGCTCAAGATAGCGTCGTTTCCTGTCAGATACTGTTTGCTCTTCCTTCTGTGGGGCATCGGTCTGAGTAGGCAGGGCAAGGGTGGGCTCCACTGGAAGAAGATAGCAAGAGATAAATTGACACTTCTTTTACACGTTTGAAGTTTTGCAGCTTGACAAATGCTTAGTTTCTGCAGCTTTCCTACCTCTGTGGGAATGAGTGCGGAGGTTGAACTGCGGGAAGTGGACGGATGAGCCAAGCTCTTTGGAGTATTCCTCCTGGATGTCCTGGAACCGAGGCAGCGTCGCCCTCTCCGGATCCGACACATCCAGGTAATCCACGGTCAGAACTGGAGAAGTGGTAGAGAGAACAGGATACGTAGGCAAAAATTAAGAATGATATCTCCGATGTGAGAACTCCCTTTTCCGCAACATGTGATTATGGCACTCACTCATGTTGTCAGTGACGATGGTGAAGGGTTTCAGGTACGTTTTCCTAACGTTCTGTGCCAGGGTGTTGGTGTATTCCTCGAAGTTGTGCAGCAGATGGGCGGTGCCACCTTCAGTCTTCTGGATCTGATCCCAGTGCTCCTTGGTGTCAGGATCCAGTATGGCGCTACCTGCACGCACCAAGTTCTGGAAAATGAAACCATAACGATTTAAATTACTGCAAGTAAACGTATCCTATAGTAATTAAAGAGCAGTAATGTCACAATGGTGGAAACTTTGAAAATGCATTGGTGGATGAAGTTGCTCTATTAGTGAGAACCAACCAGTGGAGGGCAGTGTGCCACCAGTGCAACCAGAGCTACAGACTGGGATAAAAAGGTTTTAAGATATTTCCATTGAGGGATTAAAGTTGGGATCCACTCAGGAGAACAGGTAACCACTGGAATTATTTATTCAAGTGGTCCATGCATCCTGTTTCTACCTCATTGAACTCTGCATCCCTCATGGCGGTGAGGTCGAAGCCAGCCTGCCGGCTCTCGTACTGCAGCACGTGGTTCAGCAGCTGGGCGGCCGTCTTCACGTCGTTGCCGTAGTAATGCTGGGTGTTGTTGGTGGCGCTGTGCAGCATGCGCACGATGGTCTTGGAGTGCTCACTGTCCATCCTGGAGCTGTTGCGCCGCAGGTCTTCATTCTGGGAGAAGGGAAGGGTGGGAGCATTTAAAAAGAACAAGCAAGTCAAGGCAGAGGCACATTGAGTGGGTGCGATGACACATGAGAGAAGTTGGTCAATCCCGGGATTAGTGCAGCTTTGAGAATTAGACTCAGGTTCAAACACAATAGGTGAAAAATGCTAATCCTATAAAATCAGTCAATGCAATTTTTCTTTTAAATAATTTCAAGTAATTATTATGATTATTATAAGAAAGATCAATCCAGTGTTGCGCCATTACAAGTGCAACAAAAGCCTGACATTATTTATTTTGAAGATGTTACTGGTTAGGAATTCAAACATAAGAAGCGTTTACATTTTCAGTCTTTTCAAAGAAGTAAATAGATTAAAGTGTAAGACTAGCTCAAGCCACATTATAACTTGGTAAAATGTCATTACTTTGTAAAAGATTTCTGGCCTTAGTGGCCGTATAAATGTTATTTTTTCATTTAGCTCTTACCAGTTTCTTCAGATGGGAGAAGGTGACCGTGGTGCAGTTGAAGAGCTCAGGAGATAACCAGCCCTTCTCCTCGCTGCAATGGCGGATAGCAGTACCTGTAAAAATAGAAGGAAAAAAAGTAATTAAAGAAAACGTCTCACAGACAAACAGAAAGCAGTCAAGTTGAAGATCTATTCATTTGATTGTATACAATATGTTAACAAAATGATAATAAGGCACATTCAAACATTCTTTAGTGAAGGTTACTGGGGCCGTGTGCAAACAGAATGGCATACGTATTACTCATATAAGTAGAAACTGTTCATTTTCACAAGAAAAATTCAATCTATATTTGATTAAAAACGTACTAAAAATGCAAGAATTTAGTCATAAACCGCTTAAAAAGTGTAAAACTCTTCCCATTTTAGTGGTTTAAACATTTCTAACCGTACTGATTAGTTCCAGTCTGATAAAGTTGGAGAAAAGATCTGATCCAAATGAAAAGTCTCTTCCAATGCCTTTGTTTGAAGATAAGAAATGTCTGAAGCACTCGCCAGTTGGAGCTAAGAGAGGGCAACGAACAGCGTTAGCAAATAAATTCCCCTTTGGGTTTGGGGAGACAACAATAGGGTTGCCATAGTGACGGCAGTAACTGGGGGGTAACCAGGAAAGTGACGGCGCTTTCCTAAGGGACAGGTCAGTGAACTTGAGACACACACACACACACACACACACACACACACACACACACACACACACACACACACACACTTACCGTCAGCTCTCAGTGTACCTGGTGTTTTTCCAAAAGTCTCTACACACAAAGCCTGTACGCAGTTGGCCAATGAGAAATCCCCGCTGGATTAACGGACCAATCAGAGAGCCTGTGTTTTTAAGCTTCAGAGAGAGTGTGCTTACATGACTTAAAATGCATTAAGTCACAAACACAGCCACCCAGCTTCTGAATCCAGCTGTCATTACTCAATTAATGTGAATACTTTGACATAGAGGCAGGCCTGTTTTTCGTTTTTTTTAAGGTTCAGCAGGACATTTTAATCAAATATACTTTTGGAATCCAGTGAAAACATATATTTTTTGTTAGGTTGTTTGTTGGCGGTTGCTGAGTTCAGATACTGCCAATCTTCTCAATAATTTTTTAAGTTAACCAATTTATAAAATATATTAAATGTCTGCTTGCTACCAAATTGTTTGCTGGGTTCTTTAAAAATGTGTAAAGTTGAATGTGTGTCGTATTTGAAGATTTTTAGTTTCAGTTTTGTTTAAAACCCCAATAAATATAGCAAAATCAAATAAAAATAAATTTAACATAGCACTCACCAATAGATCCCTTTGGACAGTTTATTGCGGCGGGGCGTCCGAATTTGGTCTTTGGCCACCAGATGCCTGCATCAAACGCCTTGGGACAGACCTCGTACACCACTGTGGAGGAAAGGACAAATAAAACAGATTTCTTTTTAGGTGTTGACGTGGTTTTTAACACAATCAAATAGTTAATTCCTGTATATCTGGGTTGAAGAATCTCCAGGACAAACCAAGCTTGTTTATAACTCCTCGTACTGAAGTTGAAAAATCCCTCAGTGTTTTCTTTTCTACTTTTTAGACACTTAGCCTTTCCTTAGCGATCATTTCTTTAAAACACGAGACATGATGTCATTCCTAAAGGCAGCGGTGACAGATCCTGCCATGGATGGTCACATCTCAGTGACCATCCATGACCTGACCAAAGAAACCTCTGGCTTGTTTCATTACTCCATCCACACTCCCTCCTTGCCTAAACCAATAGTGAGTTAACCCTTTAGATCTGAAAAAATGTCTTATGTCTCGACTGAAGAGTACTTGAGTAAATGTACTTAGTTATATTCCACCTCTTCTTTCATTAACAGTCAAAACACGTTCTGCAGAGCTTCATATTGGGTGGAACAGTTCGCACATTGACATTTGTTTTCTCTTCCATTCATCTGTACTGTATTGTCCCGCTGCCAAGCCAGCTCTCCAGCCAGCCTTAAATCTTCTGCTTGACTGGTCTGCGACAAAGATGCGCAGTTAGCTCGAATACAGCACCGGCAGCTGTGAGCGACAATGTTTGTCTCCTTTTGACACTTTGCCAATTCATGCAAGCTCACTTGAACACAACCTAAACTTTTAAAGGAATATTACAACTAATCTAAAATGTTTTTCTTTCTTAAAATCTCCCCTCTTTACCATGAACACCTTTTTTTAATTGGACAAATGTATCAGAATTCAAGGCTTCATTTATTCATTGATAGTGTTTTTTGAATAGTTATAGACTGGAATGAGTACATTTAACATTTTCATAAAAGTTATAAAGGCTTTTTTTAACCTTCAAAGCTAATATTAAGGATGAGTCTTCCTCAATTTCTTATTTTCTTGCCGTAACATTACATTCTGTCGGGAACATACCCTCGCATCCAGTGGGAGTGACTTCAGCGAAGGGGTTATGACAGCGGTTACACTGGCGCCCGATGACTCCTCCTTTGCAGGGGCACTGCCCGGTGATGGCGTCACATGTTCGAGACTCTGAGCCAATAGAGAAACACTCGCAGGGGTAGCAGGTGTCCTCGCCTTCTGGCCGATAGTGGTTTTCCTGCAAGAGAAGACATTATATTTACTCGGTTAAAATTAAGCTTTAGATGTGCTTTAAGTGCATTTTTAAGGTAATTCGATGCTGTTTGAACTGAACCGTGTTGTATTATGTATTCCTTTTACCTTGCAGCGACACTCTCCAGTGGTCTTGTTGCAGTCTTTATGAAATCCTCTGTTAGTATCACAGTGACAGGGTCCACACATCGGACTGCCCCACCAGCCCTGAGGACACGGTTTCTCCACTCTGTCGTCAAAAACAACGGCACATTAGTTAAAGCCATTGATACATTACCAATGTATTAAACTAACTGAGATTGTGACAGCGTAAAAGATGCCACACAATAGGAACTGCAGGTTAAAGGCTCAAGCCACATGCAAAGTACATTCAAATGCACTTATTTATTAACGTATTTCCACAGCTTGGACAAAAGGCTCCATATCTGATAGTTGACAATCTGTCCAGTTTATCTGCAACTAAACGCTGTCTGTCGCCCTGAATCTAGAATAAACTTCCCCGACGCTTTAAAGTCAGGTAACCAGGTGTGACCCATTGACACAACACACACACTGAGTCTCTATCTCCCTCTGGAGATCTCCGACTGGGAGATGTGATCTGATAGGGGGACGAGCAGCAGTGTGAGGGCAGCGGTGACTAAACATGTATGGAGGATCAGTCGGGCATGGAGGGGGAATCCCACATCCTGCTTAAGAGAGGAAGTGATGCGTGTCATAGGGGTCAGGGTTCAGGGGAAATGGCTGCTTCTCAATCAGGGCTGGCTAATTCCTGTGTGCACTCAGACAATGCAGATCCAACACTTTCTGCACATAAACATGTGAGTATTTCCTTTTTGTTTCTTAACCCTCTCTCTCTATGTGTATAAACAATCGAGCTCAGATTACTGCCTAATAAAACTGCTCTCAATGACAAAAAGAGCAAGAGCCTAACATAAGATAAGTGCGCTTTTCTCTGGATAGAAAAGACTGTCTCTGAGGAAGCATGTAGCATGCTTCTTTAATTGAAGTTAAAATAAATTATTTATAAAGGTTTTTTTTAGCATTTGAAATGTTTCTTGAGACAAAGAAGATCATGGTGTGCTACTGGGTCAGAATCAAATATAATAAGGTTTCAGAAGGCGACAGAGTTTCTTAAGAAGGGACCTTACTTGTTTTCACAGTATTGGCCAAAGTGGTTCTGACCACAGTCACAGGTGTAGCCGTGGGAGGAGCTTGGTTTGCGAACGCAGGTGGAAACATGCTCACAGGGGTTGAGCTGGCAAGCATCCACACACTCCTTACCAAAATAACCTGCAAGACAAAGAGAAAACAGCGTGGAAGGACAATCAGACGTTGCTGAGAGACAAGTAGAGTTTTAATCAAGTGGATGTGTTTGGGGCAAGTGTATATTACCTGGGTCGCAGACACAGGTGTGTGTGCTCCAGTCATCGCTGCAGTGACTGTTCTCAGGGCAGATGTTGGAGTCACAGGGGTCGGCCACGTCACAGCCGTCCTCCACGTGGATCTTCAGGCCCTTAGCCATGTTCACGTTGGCAATATTGGTAGACGTCTCGCCCATACGCACACCCTGGTGGAAGGCACACAATGTGGTTAAGAAGAAGAGAAATGATAAGTGGTTGAAGAAAAAACAAGATTAGCACATGCACTTACCTGGATGCATCCGACAAATCCTTTTCTGACATGGTTTCCATCTCCAGGCAAACCTCCTAAATGAAGAGTTTGCAGCTTCAATCCTGGGAGTTCATTACCGATCTCCACTGACTTCTGCTTAAAAACACAGGACAGAAATGGACAAAATTAAACTCATTTCTGGATTTAGCATTTAAAAAGCCTTAGCTTATTTGAAGACGATGCAGTAGCACCTGAAATGGTTAGGTCAGCTAATATTCTCACAGGATTTGTTGCTGTTCTGAGTTTGAATCTTAATGTTATCTCAGATGTTTTTATCCATTACCTGGTTAACGCCGTAGTCCAGAGAAACAGAAGCCATGTATTTGATGTCTTTTCCGTCTTTAACGCTTCTCAGTTCTACCAGCAGGTGATGCCACTCCCCGTCATTGACCCGAACTTTGGGGAAGCTAAGTGACGCTACCAGCTTGTCCCTCAGCAACACCTCCATACGGACCTGTTGCTCACTCACCTGCGTGGAGTACAGATTACAAATAATGACAAGACTGCGGGAGTTGCATTTTATGATGATGATACCATTTTTGCTTACATTTGTTGACAATGTGCTATATACTGTATCTCACCATGAGGTTGATGGTGGAGTAGGCTCCGGCGTTGACCTGCATTAGGGTGCCAGCAGGCTGCCTGGTGCGAAACATGAGGCCCATGTACCAGGGAACAGCCACGGTGATGTCCATCTCGCTCCAGGAGATCAGAGCCTGGCCGTCGAAGAACTGAGGAGAAGGCATCACTGGACAAGAGAGGGGAAAGAGGAAATATGATTTGTGTTTCAGCATTTTAAGGATAATTATGTGCCACATTAATATTGAAACGTATCCTCTTCAGTGAAGACAAACAGAAAGTAAAACAATGGGGAGATAAGTAGCAACCATGTCTTTGTGACAGGAAGCAAAATAGTAGATAGGAAAAGTTGTCTTTATTTTTGAGAAACACAAGCATTAACAATTCCACTTTTATGTTAAAGAGGCAGTTTTCAATTATATTTTAACTATAAATATTCTTAAGTGGTTGCTTTGAATGTAACGTATTTGGTTTTTGAATTAAACATATGGCTTAAGAATGAATAGCTTGGTTACGATGCTTAGCCTATAGGCCTACGTGGATTTATGCTTGTTTACATATTTTTCTTCATTATGGGTAATACAATTGCTGTTTTATGATTTAGGATTTCACAGTTATTCCTCAACTAACATTCCTGTCCAGACAGATATTCTGAAAATCCACAGAAAATCCAACGCACAAATCACATACTACAGTATATAGACAGTAAGGTCCTGTACAGTAAGTGCTGAGAGAGAGATCATGAAACACACACACACACACACACACACACACACACACACACACACACACACACACACACACACACACACACACACACACACACACACACACACACACACACACTCCTGATGATATTGGTGATGTTTTTAATGTTGTTAATGATGTCAGGACTTATGTCCTAAATGTTGCTGTATTATCGTTGTATTGTTTTAAGTGTCGGACCCCAGGAAGAGTAGCTTTTGTCGAGAGCAAAAGCTAATGGGGATCCTTAATAAACATAAACTCTGAGGGTCCATCCATCAGCACAACATACAAAGTGTTTCCTCCCACATAATCCAGTATGTGCTCAGTTCCCCAGGGCACATATTTCCACAGAAGTGTTCACCAATACACACCTACACAAGCTGTAATTATGGGACAAAGCAAAACAAAATTCTCCTGTTAGCAACACTAGCTTCAGCCAGACTAATTTACCAAAGCTTAGTCATACATAAAGTAAAAACAAAATCAGCCACTCCTCATTTATGATTAACTTATCAACACTCAGCTTTGAATAATAAGAATAAAAGAGTCCACAGGCAGAAAGGTGCTTTAAGCTAAATGTGAGCAGGTAACATGCTAACATTCTGGAGTTTAGCAAGTAAGATTGACCAGGTTCCTCTAAGTTCAGCCACACATTTATTTCTTATATTCATTATTAAGCTTTTTTATATTTACATTTTCTTACTGTTTTTTTTAAAGATCAAAGAGTAAATCTTAAACATCTAAGTCTTCAAATTCTGCCAAATCAGAGCTTGCATTTGACCGTATCTACTCTAAGTTAGCATTACAGAACTCATCCCAAATCTTTTAAAATATGGTCTACACTTTAAATGTGATCTGATAGAATAAAAAGAAAAAAGGTGGATGAATAAAAGGTGGATTTCAGTTTTTTCATGTCGGTCCAGTCTGGATCATTTTGGCAGAGAATCCACCATAACAAATCTCCTGTTTCTCGTGTGGCAGCTAGGTGTGCTTTGCCTCAGTCCAAATGTGTCAACAAGCGACATAACAGCCAAAAACCTCTTCCCAGCTTGCTGTGATCACACCCCAGTTTAGATACTGGATACAAGGCCTGGCGCTGGCTAGGCGGCTACCTCATAGACGAGAGAGCAAGAAGAGGAATTCACACCTTCGCACATTGTTTGGAAGATCGCCCCGAAGGAGGAAATCAAAGTTCTTTATTTACGAAGGAAGAACATGAGACTATGGAAATAGCAAAATAGTTAATACCCTACCTACATGTATTTATCAATAAGTACTCTGTATAGGTCCTTGTCAGAGTAACATGAGGGAACACATATAGGAGGTCAGTGTGCGCATGTGTTTGTTTTGTTTCATCCTTTGTCTGCTGTTTAGGTGAGTCAGAGAGTTGGTTATTGTCCTTTGACTTCAGACCTGAGGCTATCCTTAGTGTGTGTACAGTAGAAAGCTTCACCGTGAATCTCCATTGAATCTGCTGCATGACTCAGACTGACTCAGGGGCGGAGCTCTTTATCCCGTTTGATCTCCCACACACACTCTATTTCCTGGAAGTCCTTCAGACTCACACACTTTGTGTTTACTGTTGGTAAACACACACTTTTTGATCTTCAGAGATAAGTCTTCTTCTCACCTTGTTCACAATTCTTGCCTCCATAACCGGTTGGGCAGTCGCAGCTGTACGTACGCCACTTGCTGACACACACTCCTCCGTTCTGGCACATGTCGTCCGTGCAAAAGTTTTTCTTTGCTGGACAACCTTGAAATTGAACACATAGATTGTCATGAATTTGTGAAGAGTAAGTAGATAATCAGCAAGAGTATTTGTCCTAGCAATGTTGAGCATGGCTTAAGTTTACCACGCAGCATATCATACCTGCCGCAGTGCCGTTGTTGGCGATGTAGCTGGCCATGTCGATGGGTTTGCTGTCGATGGTGAGGTTTCTCATGCAGCCCACAAAGTCCATGTTCCTGACCGGGAAGTCCTCAGGTAGGTTGGGAACCCCGCCCAGCAACAGCGGACCAGTCAAGTCCAGTGACCTGCAGACAGAAAATGGATTAGGGTGAAACCCAAAATGTAGAAAATCACCTTTAAATACATATTTGTCAATGTTTAAAATAAAAGAAACCAGAAAAATAAGAGGCCTAAGTGGACACATGCACACACACTTATTTGTATCTCTACATAGTTGCAACAAGGATACCAGAGCTTTGCAAAGAGTGTAACATGTGAATCGAAAAAAATATAATTTTGAAAATTGTTCTGTTCGGTGGCATTTCTCAGGTCACCGTACTGGTCTAAAACTTACATTTGTATTTTATATATTATAAATACTCCTGACACCTTCTTAAAAAATGTGGCGGTATGTGACATCCATAGTGTGCCTTGTTCAAAGTTAATACAACATATTGCTAATTATGGTAAATTCAAGTTTAAACTGAAATGTCCTTCTGTGTGCATTAATCCCACTCAAAACATTCTCCACAACAAAACAGGGTATGTATATTTGTATATTTCAGTAAGAGTATCCTCCAAACGCCTCTCAGCCTCTGTGACCTGTGCAACAAGTTCCTGAAGGAATGTAACCTCATTAACTCCCCTTTGAAGCTCTCTCCCTGACTGTCCCCACCCTCTGCAAACTAAATGTGTCCCAGCATGCTAGCTCTCCATAAGACTCATTAAAAAAAAGTCCCACGCTTTAAAAATAAAAACTCATTAGTGTTCGGTACACAGTCAATCGGTTGAAACCTGTGTTGAGGCGAGCTTTGCAGTGTATAAGGCCATGTTTGACAGCACGAGGATGAACTCAGATTAGCAGACAAAAAGAAGGGAGGGTACAGTGTAATCTTTTGCAATGAAGGCACTTTAACATAACCCCTAAGGTAGAACATATTAACATATTAGTCGGACTAGTTTGTGTGCGGAGTGTGTGTGTGGTTTGTGTTGGAGATTATGTGTGTTAAGACCTAAACAGAGAAAGACAGAAGCAACACAAATGTATCACAAATTTAAACTGAATGTTGAGAAAATCGGCTAAAGACTGCATTCAGCATTGTTATGCGATTATTATATATTGAGCAGTTAGGTAAGCAGTAGGTGGCGCCATTTCTCCAGTTGCAAAAAAGAGGGCGAAAAAAGATGGCGTCATAAAATGGTACAAAAAGAAGCATGCTCATAATTTATCCTCTTAATCTTTTTCCATTGCACTTTGTCACATTTCCCTTTTGTCGGTACAATAACCCTTTCACTTTAACCAAGCGTTAACATTTGTCAACGATTTTAAGATTTTTTCCGAAGCTTCTACGTTCCACTTCTTTATGTGCAAATTCAAAATGTGCAGATGAAAGACAAAATAGACTATCTTACTTCTTCTGTCCGGTCTGGGTGCCCTGGGCGGCGCAGGAGTAGTTTCCGATCTGCTTTCCGAAACGTATCGCCATGGAGATGTCACAGTCGTCCACAGCCACCACAGCCACCTTCTCTCCAGAGGGTCCATGGGGGATGCCAAGACGCCCAATGTTCGGCTGAAAAACAACAACAACATAAGTTAGAATCATAATTTTCAGGTTGTTTATGGAGCAGGTCAAGTAATTAGATACAAATACATGTTAACATATTGAATCAGCTATAACACCTGAACACCATAAGTTGGGAATAGACAAGAAAAATAGCGAACAAGCAGAGAAGCAAAGAGAAAGATTTAGCTAAGAGTAATGGATAAATGGTGAAATAAAAAAAAGCTAAAAAGCTAAATTTAATGGATAGACTATTGATAGCGATAGCATATACTAGCAGAAAAGCTAATTGTACGTACTTTAAAAAATGCAAACTTAAGCAAACCTACTTATATCAGACAGTTCAATTGTATGTAAAAAAAAAAGATTGGCACATCAACTAAATCCATAAATAGAAAAAATATCCAGATTCAAATAAATGACAGGTGGTGTAAATCTAGGGGTAAATGAGTTCATCTAGCTCTGGAGGTACGTTTGAGGAAAACTTTTAAGAACCACTACTCTACACTGCATGGAATCGCATTTTTGATCCAAATTAACTTTTTTACAGTGTATTGAAATGGTAACTATCAATGGAATTAATAAGTAATAACATGTAATGCTTGATTTCTTTCAATTCCAGAAACTTGGCTGAGTTTCGATGCTTGATCAGTGCAGGTCAGACCTACGCAAACAATGTTTCTCTGACTTTAGCCGACTTGTAGTAGAAGTACAACGTTTTCTAACGGCTTAGGAACCACAAAAAGCCCATTGTACATTAGCTTGCACCTAATGATTAAAAAGTAGGCAAATTCCTCCATCAAGAATCGAAGCCGAGAAACGTTGATCTTAGAAAATGTTGATCAGCTTAGGAAATCGGGCCACCAAATCGCTTTAGTTTTGGCAATATCTAACCTGAGACCCAAGTGCAGTGGAGCGTATTACTCAACAATAGAGGCATTGGAACAGGAAGCAGGAGGAATTTGAGGAGTTCAATAAAATAAATATTTCCACCAATTAAATAACACCTCTTTACACTCCTTTCATAAACCTGAAAGCAACCATTTGGAGCCATTTTTGGGAAATAAGAAAATAAAATGGTATTCTTGAGATGAATAAAGTTGATAAGGCAATTTGTACTAACATATGTACATTGAATTTGCACAATAAACATTTTTACTTTAGTGGGTGGCTTACAATGGATCAAAAGTGATTAGGTACCACTATATGCTATCAACATCTCATGACTACAACAACACACAACAATGGGACTACAGATCCCAGATATGATCACAGCGCAGTGTTTGCATAAGACACTTTTTAGAGGTTTGACTGTGAGAGCAAAAGAGATTTTAAACCACGCTGGTTGCATTTACAGTTTACAGCTCAAAGACACGAAATAAAAGACGAACATCATTTGTTTTTGTTGTTATTATCTTATCTCACACATTGTGTTGCCATCTTTCATATGATGTTGAAAAAAGTTGACAAAAGAAGCAGGACAGATGGAGAAAGGAGAAGAGAGGCATGCATAGATAGACAATGTGTGTGCATGTGTTTTTCTGCTTCATAAATAGGATTAGAGTAATGAGATACTGGTGGGTCGCTGCAAACAAAGGAGGAGGGGGAAAAAAAGAACAAGCTACATACAAAAATAGGGAAGGAGACGGACCAGAAATAAGAGCCTGGTGGGGAAAGACAAAGAGAAACGGCCAGACGGGTAAAAATGAGCGACAGAGGGAAGCAGTGTCTATTTTGGCCCAGGTGGACTCTGGTCCGGGCATATTTTCCAACCCACAGGGAGTTTATCACTGCCACTCCCTTAGAAATGCCCTGTTTCCACCAAAAACACTTTCACACTTTCAATAAAGACAAGCAGGAAGGGAGAGTGAACAATACTCTGACGCCATTGCTGTTTTCATCTTTAACAATCTGATTTATTTTCTACATTTAATGCAATCCAAGATGTAAACATTACCATACAAAATCGTAATTTTTCTGCGGTTCGACATAATTAGTTGGATGTTGTTATTAGCAACATGTTAAAGTAATGTTTTTTTAAAGTTATAAAGGACTCCGACTTATTCAAACATAAGGAAAAACGATCATCCATCATCATGAGGTAAATCTTCAAAAGTCTTTTTGTCCCAAACTTTTTTAATTACGATAACATAAGACAAAAAACACATATTAAAAACTGGGGAAATTATTAAGTAATTATTCTAAAAATTGCTGATTCATTTTGGTCATTCCATAAGCACCAGTTCAATAATTGCAGCTTTAATGTTACTTTATCATAATTGTACTTAGAATGAAGAAGTTAAAAATGGAATTAAATGTACAGAGCCTGGGTTCATGCTGTTTAGTCACATGCTTTTCCCTTTGTTAGTATCTTTTAATAACTGTATTGTATGTGGGGCATGTAAAGCAATCATAGTAGTAGGAAACCACACCCCTATCACTGGCTAGCCCCCCCCTCCCCCTGCTCTCTACTGTATCTACAGGTGTCTACTTGTGTTAACCCCTTCCACCATCACGTGTGAACAAGTAAACAGTTGGCACAAGCAGCATTATTCAAATCAGAAAAGCCTGTGATCAAGGGAACTGCTCCAGTGAGTGGAGACTACACACAGAGAGAGCTCTTTTGTTCAGAATGTGGCAAAGCTGGAAATAAGTTGGTATAATGCCGCCAGCAGGAGGAGAACAATGAAAACCTGAAGACAAAGAGAAGTTTTCAGAGATGCTCAACAGGGCGATAGAAAGGAAAAGGGAAAAAAGTCTACTCTAGTGCGCCAAAATTCACAGCAGAGAGCAGACGTGTAATAATCGTTGTGATTGGACAGTGTGCTGGAAGTGAGTTTTGCTGTAGTGAGTCTCCTAAGAGGGAAACAATTTGATAAATATGAATTCTGATTCGGTGGAAAAAACGCTTGAGATTTTGCTCGATATTCTACTTTTTGACATATTTCTTGTCTGTCTTTTGTCACTCTACATAAATCTTTATAGATTTGAAGATATTAAGGGGCAACAGAGAAGAAGTTCCCTAATTCTTCTTATAACAATTCCTTACACACTAGGATTAGTAGCATTTTAAAGGAGCAGTACATCATTTTGGATGTTCTTTGATTTATTTCCAAGAGGGAGAGGATAAGATGTGTATCAATATCATGCCTGTGCGTGTCATATTGATGAATATACTTCCTGAAATGTAAAAAAAGTGAAAAATGAGAGAGAAAGTGTGATGACCGTAGAAAAGCTTTTCAAGGGCAACAAAAGGTAGTTTTTCTTATAAAGACATTCTCTCTATTGGTGACTCTGCTAACAGAGGAATCTATAGTTTAACTGATTACAATCTTATTATCTCTTTTGAGTTCAATCCAGCGAGGAAGGGATGAGATAAAGACAGGAAGCAAAACACAGGAGAGGCGGAGATACCCAGATATCGTTCATAATGGACCCGCAACCCATACGACTCGGGGTGCAGCTGTTACATGGGCTGATAACTCATAGGCTGACATGTATATACACACAGTGTGTAAGCGCTACATGTATTTAAGGTGTCTGTGTAATGTGTGTGTAATATGTAGGGGATATGAGCATTAACGCAGCTGTTAGTACATCACTGCTGCTGGCTCACTTCCCACGCTACACCACTTTAAAAACACATGCTCACAAGCACTCACTGCATGGATGAGTGACACCGACGAATACTGCCAAACACACCGTGTCAGTCACGCCAATCAGAATAGTATCCAAACCAAATATCTGACGTGTGACAATGTAAGTAATGTGAGTCATCAATGTAAGTAATGTGAGTCATCAATGTAAGTAATGTAGTCATCTCAACTCCACAAACTTTACACATGGAGATCACTGCCCTGAAATCTTCATTGAGGTTCAAAACTAAATAATGGGAATACCGATTAACAGGGCTTTAAGAAATATGGTTATTTTAGTATTAAGAAGCTCTTTGTTTGCCAATTTTAAAAGCCTTTGTTAGATGAATATTCAAAAATAAGAGGTGATATTATAATCAAAATGGTGAGAAAGGGCGAATAGAGGCGTTTTATTGGTATATCCATCCATCGATCCAATGTGAACCGCTTATCCAGAGTCGGGTGGCGGCCATTTTATCATTTAATCCTTTTATTTCAAGGCTTACACCATGATATTTAGTTAAAATCTTTATTAATGTCATTGAAAAATCTTTGGAAAATTGGTGTTAGTTAGCTGAGTGTGTATGTTAGCTTTGTAACTATTCCCGGTCCAACTTGTATATGGTTTCAGGCTTCTTTCTGACCCCTGCTGCACTTGGCCCGCTCTTTGAGGGGCCCCATGAGAGCCTCTCATTTACCCTCCGCCCCGACTCTGGGCCGCTGAAGATCCCCTCTCTCTCCAACGTGTCGTCTCCAGGGGCGCTAGGCTTGCCGCAGCCATGGTAACGCACTTGATCCCCACAGCTAGCCACAAAGACGAGGAGGGCAGAGGACACGAGCGGAATGAGGAACACACACACACACACGTACGAAAATACACCAAGTAATGCCACATGCAATTAAAAAAAAAAACTTTTTCCCAACATCCAGTGCTCACGCAGGACATAGCGTCTAACTAAGCACACACACACACACACACACACACAAACACACACACACACACACACCTTCTCCCTCAAACGATCACACACTACCTCTTTCAACCTTGGGGCTGCCTGTCAAAGCCGACATTATATCTCAAGCAGCCCCGCGGCCCGGATGAAGAAGCGTTGCTCTGCAGATTGAGTTACATGCAAAACCACAGTTCGACACAGTTTGGCGACAGAAAACACTGTCAGTTACGGGGGGTCCGGGGCCCTAATTACCAGAAATGTGTGTGTGTGTTGTGTGGGTGTTGTGTTTGCGGTGTGCGTGCGTGCGTGCGTGCGTGCGTGCGTGCGTGTGTTTTGTGTGTGTGTGTGTGTGGTGTGTGTGTGTGTGTTGTGGTGTGTTGTGTGTGTGTGTGTGTGGTGTGTGTGTGTGTGGTGTGTGTGTGTGTTTGTGTGTGTGTGTGTGTGGTGTGAGTGTGTGTGAGGTGTGTGTGTGGAGGGGAAGGATGGAAGAATACTCTGGCTCATTATGTGTTTATGCCGTGTGTTTGGGAAACTATGGGAAGGATGTCTGCAGAATGTGTTTTAAGCGTGTGTGTTGAGTGATTCAAGCAGCAAGGTTGGTAATGTGGTGTGTGTGTGTGTGTGTGTGTGGTGTGTGGTGTGTGTGGTGTGTGTCGTGTGTGTGTGTGGTGTGTGTGGTGTGTGTGTGTGTGGTGTGTTGTGTGTGTGTGTGTGGTGTGGGTGTGAGCAGAGCGTGGCTAGCAGAGCTGCAGCACGGCCACACGGTTCACTGCTGATAATAAAGGATAAAACGGCGCACCAGTCTAATTTGATTTTGGGCTCACCTCAGGAAACGTCCATTTGTTCTCTTTGAACTGTTGGATAAAGAATACACGTTGCTTTTAAGTTGGGGCGTCTAGTAAAGCACAGATGGTCTCAAGGAGACCTCAGTTAGTTCTAGTCAGTATTTGTGCCTACTTTGTGAAAATGGCTCCAGTAACAGAGCTGTTTGTTGACAGCATGGCGGTATATCGACAAGCACGCGCTCCAGAGACCACCTCAGAACAGCTCCCACGCCGTCAGCGCCGCACTCCGCGGGCGGCTGGCCAGCAACATCTGGTGGGCGGGGCCAGGACAGACAGGCATCAGCAAGCGCTCATCA